ATTTTTGTCGATATCATTACTGAGTTCACTGAGCTCAAAGCCCGCAAAATAAAATTTTAACTTAAAAAAATATATTAAATATAAATTAAAATATACTTGTTTTTTTCTTTTTTAATTTAAATAATATTGTAATAAAAAAATAAAATAAACATTATTAATGTTGAAATGCTTATGAATCTTGAATTTGAGTTGGTATAATGAAAAAACAAATATTATTCCTAAAATTGTTATATATATATATAAATAGTAAATTGTATTTTTGGAAGTTTTATAAAGGTCCCGGACAACCATTTAGTGTAGGGGCCAGCACCGACCGATAGAACGCGCTATTAGGTGTTTTCAAGACGCACCACGCGAGAGCGTACGTCGACACGCCCATCATTCGTAGCCGACGACTGCGCGCCGGTCTGATGAGCGCTAGTTCGGGAGAGCAAATTATTATTTCATGAACCTTCATCAAGTACTGTGTACCATAAAATGTATATACGCAATAATTCCGCGGTGGATTTATGTAAATCTGCACTTATACGAATCGTCGCATTGAACACGACATGATTGCATTTGAAGTATTTAATAAAATATATTATATATTATTTAATATTTACATTTGAGTATTTAATAACAGTCACCTTATTGTGATTGTTATTAAATACTCACCGTTGTTTCGGATGCTTTTTAGACAAAAATTCGTCCAATAAACCACGGAATATGCTTCGATGCGATTCGCGGTTTATCAATGTTTTCACAAATTTGTCTTCTCTACAAACGAAACATTTTAGACTCGTTTACCACTTATGTTATCGTTATTTTTTATTTTTTAATTATTTATAAACTTATGTACTATACACGTATCGAAATTATACTTACAAAATTCCCTTGACTTTCAATTTCAGTATTATGCTTCGATCAACAAAATAATTGACTTTTTGTAGACCTAACATGTAGGCTCTTATCGTGTTCCAACTCCAAATTCAAACTTAACTTTTTAGCTTCAGACCGTGTTTCTTTTACGGGTAAAACGCTGAACGTCTTGTCGAGCTGAAAATAATCTCGAGGAAACAGCAGTGATAATAACTTACTATCGGCTACTATTTGCTTAAATTTTTCCTTTTTAATGGACAACAAAGTTTGACTTCCTCCTTTTTTTTACAAGCCATTTTTCTCTCTTCCAAACTAAATTTCAGGTTTTCTTTAGTTCTTATAATATTTTCCTCCTAGTATTTTAGTTCATATTTCAGTTTTTTTTTCTCGTCACCAAGTGCCGGCCCGATGGTTTTCGGGGCCCCGTGCATATTAGTTTATTAATTTTATCGTATAACTAACCATAACCATATTTTGAACTATATTTTATCGACGATAAACAATTTTACGAGCACACGCATGTATAGTACAGCTTAGCTATGTATAATTGGTACAGTCTTAATTTTCGTCGATAACGACGCGTTTTCTGAGAGAACCATTCGACCAAACGGGCCACAATTTGCATACTACTGGGACTATATTATTTTTATTTACAGATAAAGTGATATTCGTAATACATAATTTATGGAAGCCTATACAAGCGCAGGGCCGTACCGTTTGCCCTTGCCCTCAAATAAGGCCAATACTTTTTATATTAATATGTTATATTGAACATAGTACTTACTTAACTTTTAATAATTGCTGAATGCTCTGTCAATGAGAATTAATAATTTGTATTGAAATCAAAAACACATTTAATATTATATCTTTAAATCGTAGTACTATATGTAGTAATATTTGCACATATTACAAAATATGTACAAAAAACTAACTATGTGTAATTATGTTATAAGAAACAATCAACTTAATGTTTACAGCCTTTATTTTAAATTGCTTATTTTATTTAAAATTAAGTACAATATAAACAAGATTAGGTGTATGTTTAATATGTCGAGTACATATGTTTTTAACGAAAACATTCATACATTATACTACAACCATATTTGTATAGTATCAATAATGCAAATAGGTATCTAATCGTATTAATGGCACAACAATAAATAAAAAATAGGTAAAGGCCAAATTTAAAAAATATTTATTTCATTTAATTAAATACCTACTACATCGACATTAATCAATAATTAATTTGAGCAAACTTTAAAAACTGATGGGCTAGATAATATCAATATATCGGAATTATAGACCACGATTAATTTTTTATAGTTAATAAAACCACCAATTAAAAAAAAAAAAAAAAAAAAAGTCGGGAAAAATAAATGTTGTAACATCAAAATTGGCCGAAGTGTTAGATAGATGTCAATTAAGTATTCGAGATTTTGTATATGTTCTTCAGGCTACTTTAAAAACTTTAAATTGTAATATAGACGATTACATAATAAACCAGTCTTCTATATACAGAGCTCGAGAATCATACCGTTGTAAGCGTGATGAACTAATAAAATTATAGTTTATAAAATCTCCACCTAATTACGCAGTCGTACATTGGTACGAAAAAATGTTACCGGATACTACAACTAGAAATGCAACTGCTGAACGACTTCCGACCGTGATAACTAGCAAAAATATAGAACAAATTTTAGGAGTACCAAAACTTAAGCGATCAACAGGCGAAGAACAAGCTGTGTGTAATGCATTACGAGATTGAGAGTTATGCAATATAGTACAAGCTTTTTGATGTGACACAACTGCGTCCAATATAGATCGTTTAAATGGAGCATGTATTGTAATTGAAAAAAGTTAGGTAGAGAGTTAAGTTAGTAAAGTTAGGTACCTTCCGTGTAGACATCATATTTATGAACTTATTTTAACAACCGCTTTTGAAATTAAAATACCTACAAGCCCAAGTATTCCATTATTTACAAATTTTCAAAAACAATGGTACAAAATACATATTAATAAATATAATAGTGAGATTAAAAATCAAGCATGTGGTGCTATTTTAAAAAATGTGAAGGAAGATATTCTCAATTTTGTCAAAAATAAACTAAAAATGTAACACTTTCGTGGAGATTACCGTGAATTTTTAGAATTAGTACTAATATTTCTTAATAGTAATTTGGAAAACAATATAACAACTCATCCTCCTGATGCTATGTATCAAGCCTGATGTTTGGCCACGTGCAATTTATTGCTTGGAAATATTTTTGTTTTGAAATCATTATAATATTACTGAGTCTGTTAAATTGGAGATTTATGTTTTTATCTTTGTATGTTATGTCAAAGCTTGGTTTACTTACCCATTGTCAGCAAAAGCTCCCAACCAAGACTTACAATTTATAAAATATTTGAAATCAATTGAAACAATTGATAAATATATACCTAAAGTATCGATTAAAAAAATATGTCATAATTTATGGTACTTAAGCGAAAAAACTGCTGCATTATCTTATTTTGATGATTGTAAACCACTTGAGACAAAGCATCAGATGGTAACATTTTTTCTTAAGTAAAAGATTTAAAAATTAATTTAAAACAATAAACAATCAATTTACATATTTTCAGAGAAAAATATTGATGCATTTCTATCACAGAGAAGTTTGAAACTATTATACAAATAAGGAAGGGTACTCAGTAAAACTTATAAATCATATGAATAAATATATTTATCAAAAAATTTTAAATTATAATATATACTGTAAATTTAATTTACTTGAAAAAACATATTGTGAAAAATTACAATTTTAATAATGATTTATGAAATATGTACGGAAATACCAAAAATGTCTAGAATTATTTAAAAACTTCAACTTCAATTCAGCACGGGTTAACTTTATTTAATTGAACTAACATTTCTAGCAGTTCATTTTTATATGTATACACACCGATTTAGGGGGTAAGATCAAAAATGTTTTGAAATTAAAAATTAAGGAACACCCTAACTGCCCTGCATACAGACTGTATTGTTACTGAATTATTACATTATGCTTGAGCCTTCACAAGCGAGAAAATTGTTTTAAGAATAAAATATTTATTTTTACAAGCTGTCACTAATCATTATTGCCATCAGCAATCCATACCCACGTATCGTTTTACTAAGAAATAAAAATCTATCATAATTCGTAACTCGTTATTATAATGACCGGGTAACTCTTACCTTCTATTAAGTAATATTAAAGGTTTACAGTGTTTACCACGAACATTAAAAGTTACAACGTTCTACTACATCAAGATTTTATTATCAATATTTATCATGCAGTTGTTACGAAAATTAGATGCTTCGAATAAACACGTTCTGCGAATTTATAAAATAATTAAATTTATGAACTATTACTACGATATATCAATGCCCCTATATCATTTTACTACGTGCAACAGTCGAACAAATCCACCCAGGGGTTTTTTTTTTTTTGAAACCGGTACGTATTTCAACAAGTTAAAAACCAATTTTCGGAAGTCATAATAACCTTTAAGCAAACAAATAAAACAGTTATTAAATTGAAATGAAAGATTATTATAAGTTAAACATTATCAGAAATAACTCCAGTGACAATTCATAAAACATATTCAAAATTGGTTTATTTTATAATTTTTTCTTTTTTTAACCATTATTTTTTGCCATTTAGCATGATTTTTTCATCAAAATTGCTTCCCTGTAAAAATTATATCATTAATTTGAATATCCAGTATTGAAGTCATTGAAGATCTATTAGGACTATACATTAGACATTAAACAACAAAATTAAAATCGTTGAACTTTACCAGTTCTTTCAAGGTGGAAGGAAAACAAATTGAAAACACTTATTGTTTAAATGTTTCTTATTATTATACAAAATACATAATAGGAATAATTCACTGCTTAAATAAATATACTGTTACCAATTGACCTAACCATTGAACGCGGTGGGAAAAAATGTTTTGTACGTGATTCGGCCGCGGCAAAATGAACAACGGAAACGGAAACCGTCGCACGTTGTTATCGCAAACGGTCGTGCGGTCGCGAACGTTGCGCACCGGCGGCGATCGTGTCGAAAACCCGCGGCGGCGGTCGCCGTTATCAGTCCATATCAGTCGGCCCGGTATTCGGCAAACGGTAATCAACTCGAACGCCATGTTTCGCGTCGTCCGGATAATTTCAACCGTCCGGCAGCTTTTCGATTGTTCGTCGCGCGTTCCGACATCCTATCCGGTCCGGCCGTACTGCGAAACGTGAAGCCGACCGCCCAGCGGAAACACCGGATTCGCACAGAACCGTGTGTACGACGGACGTGTGGGTCCGCGACGTCGCTTGGCCCGCTGTTACTGTTGGTGTTGGGCCCGCCGGTGAGTGAACGTACATTTTGCACGCGAAAAAACCGTCGCGCCGCGGTTAGGGGGCAGGCAGTTAGGGGTGTTTTTGATGTGGCCCGAGCAACGCGTCATGATCGCCCGTACTCTAACGTCGACCTTATCGCCATGGTCCGTGTTTCAATATTTAGAACGAGTTTTGTCCGAGTGGGCACACAGTTGGTTTCGCTGCATATCACTTAGGATTATTATTATTATTATATCGATGTAATCAACAAACTGTCTATGATTAAGAAAAGACATATTTAATCTGTTATTCGAGTATTTGACTGTCCTACTAACCTTATGTTGATGTATATTTAGTACAGGAACTACTTGTGTTTTTTTTTTTTATTTAGTTTTTATTGATTGTTATGACTTTATAGCTGCGACGGCATTAGCCATTATAAATTATTACATTGCGTATATTATACAGTGGAACCTCGATAAGTCGAAAACCTCGATTACTCGAAAAAAAAACTATAGATAACTCGAACATTCTGTGCTCCGAATATGACGGATAATGACAGATAATTTTATAAACATTTGTCTAATCGGCAAACGTTTGACGATTTTGTTAAAATCGACTATGACGTTGCCGTTTCTGGTATTCTGGCAGACGACGATATAACTGACTCCGTCCGTGGCATTGAAGATGTTGATGACATCGAAGAAGCATCATCTGAGCCTGTGCATCGTGTTTCAATGAAGCAAGCAACAGCAGCCCTCATATTGCTAAGGACATTCACCGAACAATTGAGTAATGTGGACGATAAAGTGTACTCTGCTTTAAATGTAATAGAAAATACAATTGATAATAGTAAATCTCAAAATTTAAGTCAAAGTAAAATAATAAATTATCTTTTATAAAGTTGCAACACATGTTTTATTATATTTTTTTGTAATAATTTTTTTATTAAAATAATCTTTATAATCACATTTTTTTACATTGTATATACATGTATACTAAGTACATAATAAATAAAAACTTTAATACATACATAAATTTTTAAAACTCTTTAAGTCGAATTTTTTTTCTAAAACCTTGATAACTTGAAAACCTTAGTAAGTCGAAAAAATTGCATTTCCCTTGAATTTCGACTTATCGAGGTTCCATTGTATATTTTTTGGTAAAAATTTGATCATAGATAACAAGGGCTTAATGACTTATAACTATTTAGTTCTAAATATATTTCTCCGTTTTGATGGTCTGAGGCTTGTTCTTATTAATGCTTATTTTACATACAATATGTTATAAATATTTAATTGAATTTGGTACTTTTATTTATTCATGCAAATGGATATCAAGGAACATAAGCTTTAGGTATTTAACTGTCAATTATTTTTAGTTTGTATAGAAGAAAATATAGTTTCACTTCCTTCACAGTCTCAGCTCAAATATGCCCTTGATTACTTCACTATAATATTTTTAATGTATAGTCTAGTACAAGTATGGTCATACTTTTTCGAGTATTCTTGTCTTATGCAATGTACCACACATGTTTCTATTCGTTATATGTTGTCTACCGAAAACTTGTCATTTGCTGCTCATCTATATGTATATATTTTTAATAATTTCTATTGATTTGAAGGCAATTAAGTATTATCTTAACAATTTAACTTCAATAATAAAGTCTAGCAATAATCGTGACTGTAATCATAAACGTATGAGAAAATCAGTGACAGTTTAGTTTGTGCTGTTATATGTCATACATTATTCTACAGTTAAAATACTAAGCATTATGTTAGCCGAACATTTTCATTCAATTGTTCAATCAGAGGAAAATACCATAGCCTTTTTAAAGGAAAGAGGACTTATTGAAATCGAAACTCCTTGTGTTTACTGTGGCTCAAATTAAATTTTATACTCGCAAAGAAAGAAGAAAAGAACAAACCGAATCTTTTAGTTTTTAACGCATACCTATTGACATATTATACTGTATTACACTAATTTATCTATATATTATAATACATTAATGCATATTTTTATGTAGACATGCGTGGTAGACCACATATAACAAATATAAACAGGTGGTAAACCTCAGCATACGAAAAGAATACCCTTTTTTGTTCTTCTCATAGGATTCTAATAAAGTCCAATGAATTTAAAAATTGCATTTTTATGTTAAAATTTGTCCAACTGTAAAGTTTAAATGGTTCCGAAGTAAAGTATCTCAATTAATTAGAACATATTCAAAATATATTGAATGAAACGGTTCATATTTATGTCACATTTTATTATTTACATTTACCTGGTTCGCACATCACATTGCATCGCTGTGATTTTTGTCAAACAAAATATTTTAAATATTTTGTTTAAAAAAATGGTTAATTTTGTTCTTAAATAAAAAGTAAGTAATAAATATTAGAATATATTACATGCGTTAATACTTCACAAAGAAAAATTAAGAGTTTGTAATATGGAGTCAAAAACTTTTATTTTTATTTTTTTAAATCGGCATATCTGTATATGTTTTGAGTATTATAGTTATAATACTAATACTTATAATATTTTTTTTATAACATAAAAAAATAGTTTAAAATTGATATATTAGAAGCTTTTAAAAAAAATCATACTTGTGTTCTAATTTATAGGTAATTATATTTAGGTCCTAAGTCTGTTAAAAAAGGAAACAAAATTTTTTTTTGTTGTATGGACTCAACTAGTCTTGTAAAATCGTAGGACCCAATTAGTGTACTACCTGAAAAACACTAGGACCTAACTAGACTAAATAAAGGTCTTCGGGACCCAACTAGTAAACGCCAAATCAAACATTAACCAATTGTTTATAACATAACAACATTAATTACCTGTTGCATTTACTTATTTGACTTTTTTTGGTTTTGTTTTAGGTAATGGATAATGAATATGAAATGGTTTAATAAGAAACAAATTAAGTTTCCTGTAACTCTGAAAATAATTAAATTTCATATTTAATATATTTTGCAAAAAATATAATTTAGTACTCAAAATAGCATAATGAATGAAGGAAAGTTGAATGGTACCAACTTACGTTTGAAGAGAACCATTTATGATGAAGATAAAACCTACAAAGATGAACCACCTTTAAAATCACAACGTTTATTTTTACAGTTAAATGATAACTCATGTTCAATAGGACCAGTCATTGATTCTCAGTATGATGAAAATTCAGAAATTACTGAACACAATTATGATAAAATTGCAGCTACAACTTTGTACAAAAAACTACAGGTATTGGAAGCTAGAGATAAAATTGTACGAGCTAATACTACTCAACAACCTGTTAAAGAAATAAATGTGGATGAAATCAAACCAATGGAAGGTACTTGTCAAGATATGTGCCCAGAAAAGGAACGTTTATTGCGTATTCATGGTAATATGGTTTCACAGTTTGAATGTAAATCAATAGATTCAAAATTGGAACCAAATTTTGAAATTATGGTAAAACAATATGCTAGAAGTTCAGCTGATCAAGCTAATCCATTATCACATGAGTTGAGGCCAACATCTGTACTTGTTAAAACAATGAATTATATGCTCAAAAATATAATTTATCCTATTGAATGTAATATTGATCAAGATTTAGCTACTTGGTATGATTTTTGTTGGGATCGTTTACGTGCAATACGTAAAGACATAGTTCAACAAAATTTACAGAACCCTGAAGTTATAACTATACTGGAACAAATCGGTCGTTTTCATATAGCATGTTACGATCTTATGCTTGGTTATGACGGTTTTGATATAAAGTTAAATACAGAAAACTTAAATAACTGCATTCAAATGTTGATGCCTATGTACAGGGATTCAGACCACCAATGCCCAAATGAACCAGAATTTGTTTCATATGAGTTGCTTATGCATTTGGGAAATCCACAGTTTCATACTGCATATGATTTATTACCGATTCATATAAAACAATCGCCTCAAGTAAGGTTCTGTATTAAAGCTCACTTCACTTATTTGCAGTCAAGTGACTGTATTGGGTTTTTTAATTTATTGAAGAGTACAACATTTATGAATTGTTGTATATTACAAAGAGTTATTCCAAATATTAGGTACAACAACGTAAAAATGATAAATGTATCCTATACTACTATCAAAAGAGTATATAAACTAGACGTGAAATATTTGATGGAATTATTGTGTTTTAATGATATACAATCGGTGCAAGAATTTTGTTCTGATATTGAACTAAAATGTGATGACATTCATGTAGACCTTTTACGTAAAATAATCTTACGTCCTCCCCAGCACAGAAGACAAAAACAAGAATTTATAATTTCTGAAAAGAGAGAAAATCTAACATTCTTAATCTCGGGAAATAAACATTTACCTAATGTTGAAATTAATTCAGTTCATTCAAGTTTTGACAAAAATGATTACTATTATGATCCTAATAATAAAAAATCCCATAAAAGATTGAAAGAAGATCTCAATAATGAAATACCAGACACTTTTGTTGATACAGATTCTTATTCTACTTCAAATTTAAAAGATAGTTTTCATTTGAATAAAAATCCACAACCATTTTTAAATACTACGGAACCAACTCCAGTATGTGAAGTACCATCATACACTTTTAAACTACCCAAGTTTTCACTACCAACACAAGTTCAAACATCGCTTTCATATATTGATACACCTCGGAAGTCATCTTTAAATACCATACCTACTCATCAAAATTTGTTTTTGAATCAAAAAAAGTATTTAACGTATTCTACTTCATTTGATGAAAACACCATTATTAATCAACCAGTGTCATTTATTCAAGATACATTTAAAAAACCAGCTTCTGAAAGTTCTGTACATTTTAGTCCTATTAAATCACCTCCTTTAACTCATTTAAAACAATTGACTGAAAGACAAATTAGTGTTGCTAAAAAATATTTTTATAAGTGGCAAAATTATGTGAGCCAAAATAAATCAAAATATATTGAAGAAATGTTTGCACATGGTGAACTGTTTCATCCCGAGTGTATTTCATCATTATCTTCATCTCCTTTATCTGTAAAGTCATTAAATGCTGCTTTTGATTATGATATTCATGAAGAATCAAAAAAATGGCAACATAAACAATTTTCTTTAGCAGAAAAATATTTCTATATTTGGTTACGTAAAGTTCTGCGAAAAAGGAGAAAAGTTGAAATTGATCCTGTTATTGGTATGCCATGGGCTGTATTTATGCAGGTGCACGGCACACCGGAAGAAACATTACATAGTATGAGCTCAAGTTCAAAGAGGAAAAAAAGGAATAGAGATATTAAACGTGTAATAACTCATCCATTGAATCATTACAAAACCAAAAATGATGATATAAGTAATCAAATTGCCAATATGTTTGTTAAAAATGTTATAGATGGGAAAAAGGATATATTAATTGGAAAAAAAATATTTTGGAAATTGGCTGTGAATTATGGGCATTTTCCAGAATCTTTTCGTATAGAAGATAAGGTGCAGGCTATTATTTACGGTAAAATAGGATTCAAAAACAATCAAGTACAAATTTTACATACTGATTACAACAAATATTTTATCAAATCTGTACTAAGTTACAATGGGCTATTCAAGTGGACCAAAAGTGGTTTAAATGCAGCTCTCATTTTCACTAATACAGTTAAAGAAAATATTGAATCATTATTCAAACGTGTAGATTCAATTTTGAAGTCAACTCCATCAGCCATACCATTGGTCATTGTATTTTCTTCTAATTCAGATAAAAATGAAATTGAAAATTATCAGTCTGTGTTGGATGCTTACCGCGAAAATGATTATATTAACAATTTTTGTATTTATATGTGGGAAGGACCAAAAACCATTTTAGAAGCCATTGAATTCTTCTCCAAAAATTATGTGGATCCTATATCTGGTGTACGTTCAGAAAAATTATTCTATAATTTACTAAATTTTGCTCTTACTTTCTTTTTAAAAATGCGAAATTCATTGCCTGAAGATAATCCAGTTATTATTATTGAAAAATATAATCAATACTTGGATGCTTACATTAAACGATTGGGCAGAAATAATCATGTGTTAAAGTATATGATACCTGAATTCATCCCTTACTATGCTCAAAATCCAGATGAGTTTTCAGAAAAATTTTCTAACTTGAATTTGAATTATTTTGAAGATTTACTTAATGGCGCTCAACTGTTACCATGTGAACCGTGGCCGCCCCAAAATGTTGATGATTTAATTGACTATGTGAAAAATATGTGTTGCCTTACGAACCGTAGATGTTGGTGTCTAGACATGTTGCAAATGCTTCAATTACATAGAAAAGCCGATTTGCATTATTGTTTATTAAATGCTAATTGGTATGAAGTAATTGAAATGTGGATTGAAGGAGCGCTAGAAAAGTGTTCAGCTGCTCAAGATAATTTTACAGTATTTTACAATGATGACCCAATTACAGAAGCACTAAACATTGAGTTCCCAAATTCTTAAATAATGAAAGCTTTGGTTTGTGGAAAATTTATTTAACAAAATTATGTTAACTATTGTTTATGTTTTATGTACAATTTGTAAATATAATTATGCGTTAGTTAATTTTAAATAATATTAAAATGATTATATTTAAATTAATGTCATTAAACATCTCCGAATCGTGTTATATTTTCATTTATGAGTACTTAATTGTAACAGAAGTTAAAGTTATATTGTATAAAACATTTTTTTATTAGACCTTTTAATAAGACTTGTTTTTTAAAAATTGTTTATTGATATTAGTATTCTTAGAATTTCAAGTTACAACATTCAAAATGTTGATACTCTATAATTACCAATATGAGTTAATATTATTAATTCATTATTGTTGTTGTTTAAAAACTTGGTAAATATTATTTTAGTTCTTAAATAAATTTTGTTCACCAACATCGAAAAAATTGAAGACTTACAATTTAATCTAGATTTTTTATTTTTATAATTTGTGTACAAAATGTAGGTTATTTAAAATTATCTATTTTTTACTTAATTTTTTCCAATCTCAAAAAGTATTTAAACTCTTGTTTATCAAAAAAAAAAAAAAAATAATAAAAAAAATGTGTTGTTAAGTATATGAATAAATTTTTTAAAAATATTGCACGAAGTCTTTATTTAAATAATTTTAATAAATTACAAATAATAAAATCAATAACCAGCATACCTACACAATGCACAGGTTAGACAGATCTATTTATTTATATTACCTATATGAATTTAATATTGTGTATAAGTATATCTAAATAAAAGGCATTTCAATAAAGGTATTTTTGTTTTCATTGTGATCAAGCAATTGAAGCTGTTATTTGATTCTAATATTAAAACTGTAAGCAACAATATCACTACAGTACTGTTCGTTAAGGTTTAATGAAATAAATAATAATTACAAAGAATCCGTTGCAGTCAAGGTGCTAAAATAATTAAATAATGAATTAATACAAATGAAACGGACGTGTGGTGTTGGTTGCACGCAGTGCCAGTACTATGATTTGCGAGGCCCTGTGCAAATTACAAATGCAAGGGGCTCCGGATCTGAATCTACTACAAAGCAGGCCCGAGAGCTGATCCAAAAGTGCGATTGCACTTTCTGCACACCCCTTGCGCCGGCACTGGTTGCAAGTTTATGAGGGAAAATAATTGTTATCCGTCGCTCGAAAAGTCTATGGAGACAATGTCCTTTTGGTTGGTAGGAAAACCAACTTCGTGTACGGCAACGGGTTAGCACATAGTTTAATGTCCGTCTTGTTACGTGACACGTTTCGTTGTGTAGCCCAGACGAAGGGCGGGTCGTGCGGACCGACAATCGTTTTCACGAGACCGGTGCGCGTTCCGATTGAACGCGGTCGCGAACCAAGGCGAAACGACCAGCCCCAGCTAGAATTTCGAATTTCCGACAAACGAATGGTCCGTCGATGTAACAATTAAAAAAAATCACACGACCGGTTGGACCTGCGCGACGACGCCGCCCGCATTCGTGTCTAACGTTTGTCCGACGAACGCGATCAGGGGCCTCCACCACCGTCCCGGGCTCCAGATCCACCCTGACCGGAACGCACAGCTGTCCGTCGGGTCAGGAAAAACGTGCGCGCGCTAGAACGGCCCCGTTGGTATTTTACGGGTCCTGCTACCCACATCTTCGGGACGGACGACGATGAACGAGTTCGAAATCGAAAGCGAATTCGATGCACCGCCCCTAGGTGGTGTCGATCGTCCGTGCGCGGATCTGCGTCGCGATCAAAATCGTTTTACGGCCGGCGGGGGGGGGGGGGGCTTGGCGGTCGGAGCAAAGCGAAAAAAACTTGCTGAAACGTTTTGCGTCCGACCCGGTCCCGCACTGTACGCACGAACCCGCGGACGAAACGTTTCGAAAAAAGGCGGTAACAAATTCCAATCGACCGCGCCGTCGTCCTATCGCGGATCGGCCCCGTTCGTTATCAGCATTATTGTACGTTATCGGTAATCACGACGCGCGCTATCGCATACGTTGCTCGACGGATGAATAGGTAAACCGCGGAACAATGCAACATCGCAACAGTTCCGTCGCGCAGTTTTCGATCGCCGTCGGTTTTCGGTTTCCTCCCGCTCCGGCGCCTCGAGGTTTGACGCATATCGTAACGCCGTCCACGTCGTTCGGCACGGACTCGTCGGAGCTCAGGTTTGGCGCGTGACGACGACACCACCACCACGGTCGGAAACGGTACGTACACGTCTGTCCGTGTTCGCCGCGCGAGCGTATCCACACGGGCGGCTAGCGCACGTCCAAGTCGACCCGTCCGAACAGTCGTCATATTACCGGGCCATCGCCGTTGTTTCTTCCTCGTCTTGGCGACATTCCTCCTACGGTCCGAACACCGGTCGCCATCGACCGCACACGTGCACGTCGTTTCGTTGCCACCACGACCGAACGACATTGTCGTCCAGTGCTGCGGAAAAAATGTGTTCCACAATCTTTATTCTACCTTCCGCTGTTTGTACTGCCTTTGAACGTACACTACATCATAAATAACGAGTGACATTCATTTTTCGCCCAATGCCTAATCTGTTTTTATTTGTATTCATATTGGATAACGAATTAGTTTTCAACATTATTTAAATTGACATTTCTACGAGACTACCATATTTTTATTTCGTTTCCATTTATTCGTTTGGGATAAGATGTTACCAATGTATATATTTTAATATGATTCACTTCTATATGATTTACTCATTTAATCTATTGTGCTATATTATTTAAATAATTAATTATTAGCATTTAAAATCAATTTAGTGTGATATTTAGTTAGGTAAAAGCTCGACTATATATGTTTACTATTTTTACTAAACTTGTTAGATCGATATAATAATATTTCCTTTTTCAGATGTACATATATCTTCAGTTGTGTGTTGCGTGTTCACAACAGTATTAATGTGAATATTTACTATGAAGATAATAAAACCTGCAACGGGTTATTTTCAACACACTACTTAAGACATGTTAAACATCTGAAAAAAGAAGTATTATTGTGTACAACTTATTTAATTATATTTTATTGTCCAATGGTACTAGCTCAATTTTTAGTATCAAATTTTATATTTATATTATAAATATTTTTTTTTACCTTTGCAGGATTGATGCAATGTACTAAGGTGAACGTAAAACATATATTTTGAACATAACAAATGCTTTATGTTAACTTAAAACATTTGAAACACTGGGTTTTTAAGATCGGGTCAGCGTTCTCACTTCACAGATTCAAACAGCCTCAACTGATATTAATGAACAAGTTAATTGACGTAAAAAATTGTGAACATCAAGTTGTCTCTTTGGCTGTTAAATTAATTAATGACGGTAGTGTTGTTGCACTTCCAACCGATACTGTTTATGGACTAGCAGCCGATGCACAGAACCCAAGCGCTATAGGCAAACTGTACAATATCAAGGGACGTAATCTTCAAAAACCAATTGCTATATGTACTCACCACGTAAATGACATTGGCAATTGGGGTAAAACTGGTCATTTACCTATTGGTCTCTTACACGCACTGTTGCCAGGTCCAGTGACAGTCATACTACAAAGAACACCATCCTTGAATATCGTATTGAACCCTGAGGAATCCAATATTGCTATTCGTGTACCAAACAGCGGTTTTGTATGTAATATTGTGAGCAATTTGAAGAAACCGATTGCCCTTACCAGTGCCAACGAGAGTAACAAGCCCAGTACATTGAGTCCAGTAGAATTCGCAACGCTGTGGCCCAAATTGGATGCCATTTTTGATGGTGGTACAATCGGCAGTTCATTAGAATCGCGGCAAGGTTCCACTATTATCGATTTAACTATTAATAACCACTATTGTATAGTAAGAACAGGATCTGCACTTCTTAGTACAGTACGTATTCTAAACCAGTTCGGCTTAAAGGAATTAAAATGAATAAATTATTGAGGAAAATAATCAATAATAAGGAACTTAAGGACCAATCCAACAAGGCATCTATTTTACATTACTTTGAAGAAAGACTAAACGAATTCCATGTAGAATTCTCAGACTGTGAAGTAAAAGTTACTAGCTCTAACTATGTGGCTGATAGATTTTTGGCTAACTTAGAAGTGTTGTTTCTACACGGTCTCAAAGAAACATTTATTAGTCAATTGTCTACTGTGATTGGGAACAATGTAGATAAAAATACGGATATTAACTTTTGGCACTGTCTACTTATACTGTCTCCGAGTGGTGTTGTTGATCAAGTGAGTGTATACATTTTTCAAGATATTTTATGAATAATATTTAATCCGTAGTATGAAATGGTTTTCAGATAAACTCATTGAAACATGTTACGACTGATGTGGGAAGATGCAGAGCTTGGATTCGCTGTACCCTCAATGACTGTGTATTTCGCAGCTATTTAATGTCTGCTGTCAAATATCGTCGATATATTATAAAGTTTTACAATAAGACAGCAATTATACGTGATCATGAATGTTTTGAAAAGATTATTGCATTACTGGAAAGCATTGATCAGTATAATTTTGATCTTACATTGAACTCGAGTCTCCTAAATACATGGCCGAACAGTACATTGATGTTGGCAGGTTACTGGACCCCAGCTCTTAAAAATAATCCACTGTACAACAACAATCCTCAAATAGCTGAAGCAGAAGATGTCAATGAAATTAATGAAGCAGTATTGATAAATGATCATAATAGATCTGAAGAAAGTTGCAATTCATCTTTATCGTCATCGTTTGTCGATTCAGATTTTTTTCGTAAGCCTCAAGTCATCATGGACGAAGAAGTTGGGTGGAATTTAATCATGAATCAGCCTTCCACTTCCTATACTACTTCTAGCAGTGAAATTGTCACTATAGTAGAATCTGTTGAACCTGTATCGAAAGAAGAGGAAAAAACAATAGAAAAATTAGCTACTGAACAGAACACCGAAAACGTACCCATTAAAGAAGATATCCATGAAACTCAAAGTTTCAACGATTTATTAGAATCATATAATTTGAGAGTCAAAAGTATATCTGATAATACTAAAATGGAAGATTTGTATAAACAATTGACTGTTCCGAAGATTATTGAAGAACATTTCAATGATACAGAAATCTTGGACAATGTAAGTAAAACTGTTTACAGTTGCAAATGTGTGTAAAATATTGAAGTAGTTACTCAGCATTTACTTCATGACTATTTTAATTTTATTATTGTTCACAGGATGAAGATTCTTTTGTTCAGTTGTCTGTGCATCCTGAACGTTTGAGCTTAGACGTAATTATTGTTGTTACTTTTTCTATTTAGTTTTATTTATTATTTATTTATTTTAATATAAAAGTCTTACTGACCATTTTTATTTTTCTAAATTTAATGATAATTATTCTATTTAGCTTTAATTTAATACTATTTTAATTTCATGATTCTAGCTGTTAAAAAAATACTTGGAATATTTGTTTACACCTCCAAAGGAACTTGGTTTGAATTCTCAGGATTTTATGTGTAAGAGTTGCAACGAAACGATTGGCATTGATTTCGGGAATTATTAGTAAGTATTAATAAAAATTGTCATTAGGCTATATATTTGATAATGGTTTTTACATGTGCACTGCTTTTCTTGATTGTTAAATTTTAGTAAATGCAATTTCACCGCATGTTATTACTGCGTACATTGTTTTGGCTCGGAGAAATGGTCAATACCTGTGAAAATATTGTTTGACTGGGATTTCAATCAGTATCCAGTGTCTAACAGTAGTTCAACGTTTTTAGGTGAAATACAATATCACCCTCTGTTTAATATGAGAAGTATTAGTCACAAGCTGTACAAAGCCAATAAGGAAATGGGCAGGTCAAAAGTGGGTGAAAAAAATTAATAATTAACCATTAGTAATCTAAACTCTAACAAGTCTTTAATGTTTTATAGAAACTGCGTTGGCAAATTTACTATCTTTACCATTATTTATCTACGTGTAAGTTTTACGACCTTGATGAGTTGTCTAAAGATATATGGCCCCGTGTCTATTTCTTTAACAATATTCATCTTTACTCATTTGCTGTAAGTATGTTCGAACCTGGTTGAAGTACAGCCAACTAAAAGTTATTTGATTTTTATCTTCTAGGACCTTCAAGAGATCTATTCTGGTACCTTTTTTGAGTTCCTTGAAGTCAAAATCGAAGCCTGTCAAAATCATGTTTACAATTGTACAGTGTGTAGTCAAAAAGGTTACATATGTGAAATATGCCGAGACTCCAAAATTATTTATCCATTTGACCGTGGTGATAATTACCGAGTAAGGATATTTTCTATATGGGTTTTTCATTTTATCAATGTACCATATAGAATCAAATCATATATCAATTTCTAAAGTAGTCATTTCATCACACACATGTTAAATTTTATTTTTAGTATTATTTGTTTTTATTATTAAAATATGTCAGCTCATGTTCGGTTATCTTTGTCTGTGTAACGTGCAATGTAGTAAGACGATATTCTATAAAACTTAAATTTGGTGTTTACGTTACATAGATTTCAGTTTCAGATATTTTTTTTAACAGTCATAACTTTGTCAATTTTAATTAAAAAAAAAAGAAAGGTTATATCACACTCTTAAATTTTTATTTTTTAATTTTAATTTTAATTAATATAATTAATTAAATTCTGTATTTAACAAAAGCCACAATTTATATTCTATGTAATGTACTTTTGCTATGCGGCTCATTAAAAATGAAAAGATAATTAAACATGATTTGATATCCTAAACATTTGCAAAATTTAATTTTTTCCATTGTCAAAGTATGTGTACACTTATAATGAGATTGAGCAATCAATTATTAAAATGTTAGACTGATTTGTTGTTGTAAACCTTATATAATTTTTACAATATTACTAGAAATCAATTCAGTCAATAAATGTTACTATTTTTTTTGTTTATTATTCCATTTGATTTATAAATATATTGATAAATAATTTATAAATGTTGTTCAAGTATATTAAATTCCTAAAGAATAAAATACAAACGATTATTTAATTTAAACTTCCTTAAAAAATGTTAATAGTTTTATTTATTTTTTTAGTGTTGTCATTGCAAATCATTGTATCATCGTAAATGTTTTAAAGATATAAAATCATGTCCAAAATGTGAACGAGACAAAATCAGAAAAATGAAGAGAACTTCTAATAGCGATGACGATGGTGAAGAGAGTTAAAATGGCTTAATAAGAATGCATTAGTGAATTATTCATTCACTTACAAAATATGTATTTGTTACCATTATTTGTAAAATTCCTTTTTATTTTATAATGTATTATATATATATATATATGTATTTTATATCAGTTAAAAAGTTCTAATTTCATTTGATATTTATAGTCATAATAGTTTTATTTTAATAAAAAATAAAGCATTTTAATTATTGGCCTTATTTATGATAGTATAACTCATTTTTTACATAATTTAATAAAATATAAAAACATAAGTAATGTTTGACTTAACTGTATACAGATACAATTTGAGTTCAAAAAGTATTTTATAAAGTCTAAAGTAATAAAACAAAAAAATGTTGATGCTATCAAAGGATTTTGTGAATAAGTAGTAGTAATATCTTAATATATTTGATGTGTAAAAATTTGAACTAGCACATTTTTTATCGCTTCATTAGTTACAATATTCAAAAACAATATAATAATTTGGAATTAATTAAAACTCCTCTATACTTGACCTTAATAAATACAAAATAAAATATCAGCCGTAAATAATTAACACGTTCTTTCCAGGATCAACGTTTAAAAAACTTGATTGACTTGAATGTTTCTACTTGAAAATGCATTTCCCTCACGAATCGTTCAACGGCAAAAGCTTGGATCAAGGTCTGTTGAAACGCGACAAAAGCAAATTGAAACTTGTAAGAACTACAAACATCGCTGCCGCCGTCGGAGGAAATCGTTTTCTAGTGGCAACGGCCCGCAACCATACATACTCAAAATCGCGGAAAGTTCTTAGATTTACCAAAACTTTCTGTCCGTCTCGTGCGCGTTGACATCATAAGATCGCCGATCACAGGGACAGATAATAAAGTTATAATATATATATATATATATAAAGTTATAAAATATTTTATCCGCCTATATCTTTTTCATTTGCATTATTTTGATAAATTTCGTAATCATATTACTTATCATTTATAAATTATTTTTTCTATACCATTTTACTTTTTTGCTTTTTGTTATTTATTATTTTTATTATTTTTCGTTCTTTTAAATAGAATTAAAGTTCACAAATTAACTATATAAATTGTTACTGGGTTTATCCCGTTTAAATTAGTAAATAAATATCAATGATTACTTGAGTAATATATAATCTGGCATACAACAAATGTCTATATCTGTGTCGTCGATCGTTTCGCCCGACAAAACGTTAACGCGACGAATTACGATTGCCGACCTAAAGTATTTTTCGCGCATTTTATGATGATTCCACAACGACCATCACACAAAAAATGCTTTTTTCACCACGCAAGTGTCCTGATGCACGACAATCGTACGTGACAAGCCGGTGTTCGAAAAAAAAGAAAAAAAATTAACAATTACAACTACCTACTGCATTATATTGCAAAGAATAATGGAAATTATGTGGAATAATACATGGATATACATATATATATATAATATACAATATATGGAAATAAAAACGCGCGTGTTCTGTACGTTTGACGCAATTATTTTAACAAATCCATAAATTAACAATTCACATAGCATTTGTTAAGCAGTTAATTATGAACTAAAAAAAAATAAAATATAACCGACTACTAACTATTACTGTATTTATTTTTTTATAATAAAATTTCAAATTAACCAATTTAAAATAATGTTTTTTTACTGAAATAAAATGTTTATAACATTAATACTATAGAGCTGTTCTTAGTATACACTTGTTTAAATAATTTAAATAATTACACGTTATTAACGTAAACACCTTCTACTTCTATAAAACCATTGTTCATGTTATCATCAATATCGTTTTCGTCTGTTGCCGTCGAGTGGAGACCAACATCTGAGAAGTCTTCCACGCACTAAAGAAATAGAAGTGTATGAAATTGGAATCATGGACAAAAATAAATAATAACTAATAATACAAAATTCAGATACTCCAAAATTATTAAAAATTTCGAACCGTTTGGATAAAATAATTTTGTACAACATATATAACTTATTAGTACTGAATGTCACTAGCGAATTATCATTAATCGAATCATATTTACTTGAATAATATTTACTGAATCATCATTGTTATCGTAACCACTTGGTTGAGTTATCGAAGATTCCATGTTGTCAGACGATGAACATCCTAGGTTCTCAGAAGAAGAAGTAGAAATATCGTAACCACTTGGTTGAGTTATCGAAGATCCCATGTTGTCAGACGATGAACATCCTAGGTTCTCAGAAGAAGAAGAAGAAATATCGTTAGGGTAATAATCTTTTTTCCTGCTAGTGAATTTCGCCTCCTACAAAATATACGATCGGTATGTAAATAAAAATAATTTTGACTTCATTATTAATAATTTTGTAATAGAGTTCCTTAATTATCTGAGCCAATAACTGTTTATACATGACAAATCAAACAAATATCTTATTTTTATAAAATTTATGAGAATACTGCTTTGTCACTTGTTAGACATACGAATATTTCTAATCCCATCAAACATAAACTTGCCTACAAAACCAGATGTGTCCCTTACATACACAGTTAACATTCAATTTAAATTGTTTAAATTGAAATTACGATAAAATAAATACTCGGATACAAACCTCGGCAAAATTAAAATTTAATTTTGTTAAATATTTTAAATTTAAATCTTAAACCAGTAGGAGTAAGCAATGTTATGCAATCAACAGTACTTATCAATACTTAGTAAAATTAGCGGGTTATCATACTTACTTGAATTTCATTTGTTGAATAATCATTGCTATAAATTGTACTCGGCATAGTCGATAAAGAATCCATGTATTCAGATGATGAATTATTCATATAAGAATAATCACCTTCTTCGTTCGAGTTGGGAGTGAGTTTCATATCCTACAAAATATATGATTAAAATGTAGATATATTTTTTTCGATATCGTCATTTTTAAATGTAGTTTCTTGATTATATAATATTCTAATTAAATAATTCTTTTTTAAATCAAATTACACACATATCTCATTTATATATAACTTATAAGAACACTTGAGAATCAAATCATATACTTACTTGCGTTTCTGTGCATTCGTATCTACAAACTAAACTTGATAAAGTCGATACAGAGTCTACGTACTCGGACAATGAACTACTGGTGGAGTTACAGTCTTCTTCATTCTTGATATCAAGGAGTTTTGTATCCTGTAAAATGTACGATCAGAATGTAATTAAAATATTTTCAATTACGATATTAAGCAATTTTTTTTTTATGTACTTTCCAATTTAATCATACGCTCATCATGACTTATTATGTACATTTTGAAATATCTCACTCAAATTTTACAAACTTAGGTAGTTACAAAACTTTATTAAACATTTCTGTTGTATGCTAGTTGAGATAAATCTATGCCCAGAGCAAAAAAAAAAAATCTGTATCAAAATGGCCAGAAATATTTTTAAAGTTTTATGTACCTACACGATCTAAAAAATATAATACGGTTAAAATTCTGTTTCAATTTTTATGAAATCAAAAACGATAATTTTTCATCCGAAGCATAGAACTGATTTAAGTTTAGCCTATGGAAATTGTCTTGTGCATTTGTATTTTTATTTGTATGATTGTCATAAGTATACTGAATTTCACATTGCACCACTGATTACAGTTAGATGGCGATTAATAAAAATTTACGATTTTAAATAAGAACAATAGCAATTTAGTAGTCAAATAGAACAATTTATTAAATAATGCTGGATTATATTTACAGTTTCAATTTCCAATTCTGAACGATTTCCCGACCGACTTTTATCACTTGTTACCTCATTACTTTCAATGGATTCATCCTCAATTTTTTCTATAGTTTTCTTTGTACGAAATTTTCGTTGCAACGCTAAAAGTAAATAATATATATCATAGAGTTATAATAGATTAACCGCACTAGTAAAAATTAAAAAAAAATTAAAATTATAAATCAAGATAATGTAGTACCTATGAAGATCAAATATCGTTCAGATCTTATCAAATTATTTTTATTATTAATACTTTGTAAAATTGAAAATATCTTTCATCGTACTGTATAATGTACTAGTATGTACTTGCGCATATTGTACTATATTTTAATTAACTTTAAATCAATAATTTGTTGCTTAGATTAGTGGCGTAGCCGGAGGAGGGAGTTATGACGGGTTATAACCCTCCTCGAAATGTCTTTCTTATTTTATAATATATACAATAATTTTAAGACATAGGTATAATATTATATCATGCATCATTACCTGTCATTATATACGTGGGGCTTCTCACCAGTTAATTTTTGACTGAGAACAGATTCTACACAATAAACACATTCTAAATTTAACCGTCCTATATGCCCGACGTTAGTTATGAAAACGAATTTAGATTTTTCAATATTTGGTTGATGCATCGGTCTGAATACATTTTTAACTATCGTTGTTCATATTATTATTTTAAAAATATTTACAAAATTTGAACAATTGTAATTTTTCAAATAGAAATAATTAAATAATCAAAAATATTCTTTAAATCGTATCACGAGCGATGCCTCGAAAATTTTATCAAGAATTTTTACGTTTTTTTCAAAACAAAAATCTGAGTAAAATTAGGAACATACTGTTAAAAGTAGAATTGTGTCTTGAGGGTGAACATTTTACTTCTTATTTGTTTTGAATAAGTTCACTGACACGTGCAAATGAGTGCGTAAAGTCACCCCGTGAAACATTCTCAATCATCGTGTCATCGTCACTTGACGCGACACAAGTGAACCATAAGTAAGGATATTATTATTAGATATTATATTATTTTGTAATTTGTTGTATATACTTTGTACATTACAAATGTGGCCCATGAGCTACACCCAGTATTACAATTCAATAAAATTGTCTTATTAAATGTATCTTATTAGTTATTCTTATTATATTATCAATATTACATGCGTATACATTTGAGTTATTTTACTATTTTACGGTTTAATCATGGTCTAATAGTAAACTATTTTCTTTAAAATTATCATGTATATAATATTAAAAAATAATTACCCATATGGATATCATGATTTTCAGCAAAATAATTAATAAACCAGGAAATTCGATTTTACAAATTAATAATAACACATTTTAATTCTTTAACGCATTTTTGTCTTTGCAGTTATAGTAAATATTAAATAATACCCATTTTTTCAAATGAGTATCAATAGAACACATTTTTTTTTTAAAAATTCTAATAAATATTAATTATTTTCTCTCAAGTACATTCTAGTCTTTATTACAACAATTATGAATTGGTTATTTTAATTTGAACTTATGTAAATTAATTGTAATAATAGTATATCATATCATGTATTTTATTTATCATAATCTATGCTAAATATTCTATAGGAATATTAAAACTACAACTGAATATGTAATATATGTGTGTATGAAAAAAAAATTGCTATTTTTTGCTGCAAGCCCGCTGGAAATTAACTTTATAAACTATTTTATATTTTTATTGTATATTATAAATTATTCTTCTATTTTCAATTAGTTATTAATATAGTATTTTATTAATGTAATTGTTAGCGAGCAGTTTTTTTTTTTTTAGTTATATTATGGGCCAATCAATACTTTTTCCCTCTCTCAAAAACTGAAATGACGCTATTGATCAAAAATAGTTTTGATATTATAAACCGTAATATTCGTTATAAAATAAACGCAAATTGAAATCCACATTTTAATAAAGATTATTTTGGACATTAATTAGGATGAACGTGGCGTCCCCCCGTTCCAGTGAAAGAATGTATTTGGGCCCCCCCTGCGCACCCCCCAAATTCGAGCACTGCTTATAAGTAATATTAAATTAATTTTTATACAAGTTTGATTCCCTGCGTATTATGCGATTTTGGACTTCGAGTCCCGGTGTCCTGAAAAATGTTTTCAGGATGTCCATATGTCCTTAGACGTTTAGAGGAACTGTAGAATGGTTTAATTTTTAATTTCGACGGTTTAATCTCTAAGTGCATTTTTAACCGTAATCGATTAACAGTGTATAATAAAAAAAAATAATTTGTAATTTACACGTATAAATATATAATATTGTATATTTTATATTGTAAATTATTTTACAAAAATATTTTTAAATATTATATTGCCGGTCATTAATGGTCCTCTCAGAATATTAAAAGTCATACAAAAAGCATATCGCTCAATAATGTAATTGTTTTGTCCCGGTTTAGCGTTATAAATTTATGGCAATCCTAGTAGGCATTATGTAATATGCTAGTCCATGAGTATATGCGTATAACTGTAAGCGTGGAAACGCATTCGAACGGAGGCACTCGGCGCGGTGCAACAAAAAATCTGACTACGAGCCACAAGCGCGAAATGTACGAGTGTTTCGGAAAGTTCGCGTCGGTGAAATAAACCGTTCATTTTTTCCGATCCACGCTCAACTCTAAACGTTTACGGACATCGTTTACCCGAGTAATAAATGTATATAAATATTGTGTATTTGTATATTCTTACTCCAAACGATGATGATTACCACTACCGGCAGAAAATAAAACAATAACGAATCCATGATGACGATGACGACGACGAGATGAGACGAAATGAACGACACTGTCCCGTCAACGGGTCAACGGCGGCTGCGGATCGGTGAGCCATAGATGAGCGGCGCTTTGTCATCCGATGACCGGGAAGGACGTTACAAGTAATGCGAGTATGATTAACCAGTTCATAGACGTGCGCAGGGGGTATGCAACTGCATACCCTAAACATACAACAACATATAAATAAAAATCATGACATATTTGGTCTTTAAATGTGTATTATGTGATTCTTATTACATTTTTATAATTCAGTCCCGGAAATTTTTATTTATTTTTGAAACTCAAATCGTACACTATAATACAACGATTTAATGTGTCAATGAAATTAAAAAGTACTATGCTTCAAAAGAGATTAAATAGCTTTCAACTACAGAGCAATAAATGGCAATAAATTATAATTCCAAAGACATTGGTGATATTAAAAACTCGACCGAACGCAGAATTGTTTTATGGTCAATCATAATAATTTATCAAATTTATTTTGTATATGTTATCAGTAATTTTTCCATTCGATTATTTTTTCTAATAATCGAGTTATTCGATAAATTCAAATAATCGAGCTACTTAATTATTTTCACTCGATTATTCCCATCACTACTAAGTAGATTATCTTCTATAATTCGTGCGTATGTATGTATTCATAGCCGTACCAAGGGGGAGGGGCAAATGGGGAAAGTGCCCTAGGGCGTACAAAGTATTATGAATTTAGGAGGTGTTATAAAAATTAATGATAATAAGAAAAAATAGGTTTTTTTTATTTTTTACAGTTAAGCATTCATTTTTCTTTTATACTGAAATATCTGAGTACCCATAAAATTGTACAAAATATATCATTAAATATGAAATTATGTAAATAATTTAAATAATGTGTTACATGATCACATGTATAAATATTACTGTAGGATTGAATATTATTGATAAACGAATAATGATAATTGATGATCTCAAATCATGACTGTAGGTATTGTACCTATGGGTAGTAGGTATCAAGTACCATAGTACTTTGACTTGATTTTATATTTTGACGAATATTATCGATGAAACATAATTACAAAGATTCGAATTTCATATCATTGAAAAGTACTAAAATACGCATCATAATATAATTTAAAACACCATAAAATATGCCCTGGAGATATAAGTAAAAAAAAAAGAAATGTTAATCAAAATTTAATTTTATTTATTATCTTTTATTGAAAGTATATTTAATTTTTTTAATTATTACCTATAATATAATCTTATGAATTAATACATTTATAAAAAAAACTCAAACGACCTTCTGTTAATAATTTAAAAAAATTGTGATATAAAACAAAAATGTGAGAATTTTTCTTATTATACATAAATGAATACTATTTTTCAGTCAATATAAATAATATTTATAGTAAATTCTAAATAAATTATATTATTATTATATCATTATATTATTTTGTGTATTGGCCAATAGTAACATCATAACTTCAAAAATTATACTATAACTCTAAAATACTTAAAATATGTAAAATATATAAAAATTAAATTTCATTTTTGGAGTCCCTGGTGCATAAAATAAATATATATCTCACTTTGTTATTTTTATCTGTATTATATAACAATTAGCAAAAGCTATAAAATCTAAACCCTTAATAATATTAATTATTAATGAATATTATTACAATTTTATACAAATATATAATAAATACGTATATATTATGTTATTATAAAAGATCGGATTTAATACACATTGCAACTTTTTACTAATACCAGTTAAATCAAATCTGATAAAATGTGTATACGAATAGGGTTAGTAACAGTCTTCCTAATAATATAATTTTTTGCAATTTTCGACGATTTTGCAATTATTGCAATTATTACAATTTTTGTTTACTTCACGTGATAAAGTATACAAATTATTATTACTAAGTAATTTTATAATAAAAATATAATTACAATATAATTTTTACATGTAGTGAAATGTAGTTTAACATTTTTCTAATTATATTTATCTGAGTTATCCACAAAACTTATAAGTTTAGAAGAATCAAATAGCCAATTACTTAAAAGTTATAGTATTATAGATATAATTAGTAATATTTAGTGAAATTGAAAGTATTTTGACAAATATTCCCAGTCCCAATAAAAAAATAGCTTAAGATAAATTAAAATGTCTTAGGAAAAAATTAAAGATATACAACTATTAAAACTTACTCTGAGGTTATGATAGGAAATCAAAATGTTAATTTAGATATAATATCAAATTTTTTAAATTATTTTAAATACGCACCGATAACAAATGTAGACGTTGAATATACTTTTTCATTATATAAACATAAGTAACAGACGATACAATTTTCAAGAACACAATTTAGAGATGTATATAATTCTAAATTTTAATTCGGAAAAATTATATATTTTGTAAATATTATATTAATGTTTATAATATTATTTAAGTAAGTAATTAATGATTATATATTTGATATGATTTTAATTTATTTTTCACTGCAATTTTGATAAATTTTCGTTGCAATTTTGGCATCTTTTTAGTGCAATTTTAAGATATTTTTAACGCAATTATATTCAATCTTTAGTTAAATTAAATTTTACCTACTTCTTATAAAAAATCAAGTTTAGGTGAATTCGGATAATTTTTTAAGCCAACCTTACTTATCATAGTAATTTTATATACATAATACCTACTCAGAAATGCTGAATATAATTTGGTTGAAAAGTTTGCAAAACTTAAAGCAAGGTAAAATTACTTTGTTTAATCTAAGTGAGTTATATACATAATGTTCAAATGTTGGAATATTATATCTGTGTTATAAAATTATAAAAACATTATTATTTATTATTATTATTTTGTTTTATAAAATATAAAATGTAAATGTAATATTTGCCATGAATGTTTATGTTAATATAACATGTATAACTCATAGTTATATGTAATTTATGAATACAAACATATAATTTTTATTTATAGTTTTGTAAAAAAAAGTAATTTTTCTATAATTTAACCAAGATAATGAAATGCAGGGACTAAAATTATGTGTTGTGGTTCTATTCTCAATATACAGGTATATAGTGGTATTTGTTTTTAATTTTATATTTTTTATTAAATTATTTTACATATTTTTAAAATTCCAAGATGTATCATCAGCAAAATATAGAATAATAACTATTTTAACTGTGTTTCTCATTACTATTAACGTTTGAAAGAGTAGTATGACAAAATCCTTAAGTGTGCAGTACGAAAAAGTATATATTTTAGTCTCTGATTAAATGTCAATTTTGAAATAACACTAAAACAAAATAAATATGACTATAATAATTATAATAATAATAAAAATTATAAAAAGTAGGTACCTTAATTATTCAATACTAAGCATATTTAATGAATGACGTAAATCATATGCTAAATATATGAAGTTAATTTTATTACAAAAAAATTGGGGGAGTGGAGGGGGCGTCAAATGTTGTTGCCCTAGGATGTTATTGGCAGTTAGAACGGTATTGTATATTATATTATTTACTTTTATTTATTTATTTATGCATTTATATATACTAATCATGGTTTAAGGAATATTTTAAACAGTGATAGCTCTCCCACTAGCGGGTTGTATGCGACGAATTTGATGTTAAATCGCTCATTTACGCCATTGACATCGCGTCAACAAATTTGTACTTGTATTATTTTTGACTGTTCACTAACATCATTCGTGTACCTATTGAACACGGAATCGAATGGTTTAGACGATAACAATATGGTCTTATTAAAAAAGAAAAAAAAAACGTACATTTTGAGTTCATAAGTATAGTCTGTAAACAACAGTTTACTTACACGAAATTAAAAAAAACTCACTAGCTTACTATAAAAATACATATTACAATATTTAATAGTTAAAAGATTATTATACAGTGCATACAATTAAAATAAACAGTTTATAGGAAGATAATAAATCGACTGGAGATTACCTTAAGTCAAAAATACAAAATTAGATTCACAGAAAAATATTTAAACATTTATATTAACATATTAGGCTGGATAGCAATCTGGTTGTATTGGTTTTTAGGTTTTCTTTTTCGTGTTACAATGTTTAATATTTTTTTCATCAAAACTGATTCGGCAAATTCCTACAAAATATAAAATGCATAGTATTAATAAAATCGTTGAAACTGTAATCATAATATTCACCGTAAAGTACTAAATATTTACCTCGATACTGATGGCCAAATAAAGGTTTAAAATAGGAAAAGCAAGTAGTGTAAGGAGAAAAGTTCTCTGCTCATTATCTTCGGACGAATTATTTAGGTTGACTATGTCGAATATGTCCGTGAACACGGGGATTTTATTCGTTTGTAACATCAGCGTGAACAACGTTAACACAAATATCACTATCGTGAAAGAGACTAGAAACAAAAATAACCACATTTAAATTGAATCGAAGTAACAAAACATGCATAGGTAGGTACTCAATCCATTTTCAAAATAAAATAATCTTACAATTTCTGTAAAATGGTTTTCGATGTGGGTATCCCTTATTCAATACAAACGCCAATATAATATACTGATATGAACTGGTAAGAAACAAAGTAGTATTTTCCCAACATGTAATTACATCATCATCAGACCATGCAGGAGCTGCAGGCGTATACCTAAATTATAAAAAAAAAACCGGTAACATACTGGTGACGATTGAAATCAATTAAGATTGGGGTGGTGTTTATTTGAATACATTAGAAAATGATAGCAAATCATTGCATCCGAAAAACAACTGTAATTTAAGGTCAGTATATAATGTAATATATATATATATGTATAAATAAATTAGTACCAAACAATATGATATCGGAGTATGACTTATAAAATTAAATACATTACACCCACAAAAATGTATTCATTTGACATTTTTTTTCGAAAATATAAGTAAAATTATACACGTGTATTTAAAAAAAAATATTTACCCAATGAGTTGTTCTAAAAATTAATTTAATATTCTATAAAAATAAACATAAATTGATACATTTTCAAAAAAAATTAGGAAATTTTGTTACATATTTTAATTCTTTAAATATTATACTAATAGTGATACTAACATATATGTATATATAAATTATGTCTTTAAACATCAATTTTGAGTGCATATTCATAGAGCATTACACAATAAAAATTAAAATTTAGCATTGATCTTACCAAATCTGTGCTTCGAGGTAGAACAAAGACCCTTGTTGGATTAAAGCACAAACAAACAGTTGTAAAAATAATGGAATTAAATTTTTCAGTGTTAATATTTTGGACAGAGGTCGGTGAGGATACACTTTGTCGGTGGGTTCGATATCACCCATTACAATGGCCAAAGATGTAGTTAAGATAAAATCAAAGTATAAAAATTGGAAATTTCCCAACATAATGCCTCTCTGAAAAAAAAAAAATAGTAAATCTATTAGATTATTACCGAACAGTTTTTGTAAACAAAATGAAGCAAATTACACTCACACTATACAATAAAACTAACGTGATAAATTGTATTAAACTATAGCATGTCATGTATTTAAATATTCCAAAACTAGTAACCAGAGCACATCGTCCTTCCCGAATCACTTTTGTTACACATGAGATATTTGTTATTTGAGAAGTAAACGGAGCTGCGATGGATGCTTCAGCTTGGGAAAGTGATATTCCTACGTGGGCAACTTTCAACGCCTAAAAAACCAAATATTATGATCTCCTCCAAGTTTGTTCCATTTCATAATATTTAATATAATAATATAATAATAATATTTATATTATATTTATATTAATATAAGACCTACACCAGCATCGTTTGCTCCGTCTCCGCACATAGCTGTCACGTATCCCATATTTTGAAAATGTTCCACGAGTTTTACCTTTTGTTCAGGTAACATTCGACCGAATACAAGACCTTTAGAGACAACGTGAGGCAACCAATTTGGGAAATCTGACTCTAAGACTGACCACGACCTCCCATCAATTGCATAAAACACTTTATCGTTTTCCATCTGTGTATTAATAAACATAACACTGATTCTTAAATGAAAATATAAATAAATAAACGAAAAAATAAAAATATTTCGAGCATTTACATCCAAGTTATGCACGCCTAATGCAGGTTCGATTTTTATTTCTGCTTGGTTTAATTCAGTACTGGGTGTTGCTGTTACAACTGCAACTTTGACGTTAGATGGAATCATAGAACATTCTTTGGCTACACTTAGCCCCGTGTATAAATTATCTCCTGCAAATAAAAAGAAAAAAAGTATTCATTAATATTCTTCTTTGATCCATTGGTGTGTTAATCAATGATTGATCAGTAAGATGATTACAATTAAAACACTGAACACGCACAACTAACACTTTTTTTTATTAGTTTTGAATACATACAAAACGTCACTATTTAATCCAAAAAACTCACCTGTAACCATAACACATTTTATATTCGCAGTTCTCAATTGTTGGATTACTTGGGAAGACTGCGATTTAAGTTTATTTTGCATAACAAGAAATCCAAGAAAAACCAAATCACATTGTACCTGTATAACACATTTCCTACAATTATTTCGGTTAAAAAATAAACGTCAAAAAAAATAAGATTTTATGCAAATTAACCATTTCTAATTTAAGGTGGTACAACGATTTCCAGTTAACCTTTTTCGGTAAATTTTTGTACGCCAAAGCTAAAACTCGATATCCTAATGAGCCAAATTCTTCCAAAACAGAAAAAATATTTGACGGGACTGAAAGGAAAAAAAAAACCATAAAATAAAAGAAGTGTAAACGATTTTTTTAGATTTTTATATTACTCGTTTCCGTCTTGCAGTTTTGAATAATTTTCTCTGGGGCTCCTTTACAGTACACTGTGTACCGTCGAGAACCAAATACTTGACCAATGACACACATACTTTGAGTATTGGAATTAAATGGATATTGATGTATAATACCAATTTCAATAGGAAGCTTTAAAAAAAAAAAAAATAAATACATATCGAATAAAAAATAATTGTGTTCACGATTGGTACTCTAATAGTTATTTTTTTTCTTACTTCATCCGGATTCAATTGCTTCGATGGTTTTACTATTGAAGGCAATAAGTTATCGAATCTTGAGCTATCTGATCCGGGTTCTTCTAGTTCCTGTGAAGTAATATATAATATCCAACATTAGGCACTCAGAGTGTACGCAAAATAATTTGTTTATCGAACCAAACTTATAGCTCCTATACCCCCCCCCCCCCCCCAATCGAAGAAGCAATTATTACACTCCATAGTGTACCTTACCCATTTGGTAGCATTAAACATGCTTAAATCCAGTGGATCTCCTGCTAGCGTCCCTTGGATGTGTGTTAACGAGTGACAAGTTGCCATCGTAGCAATGATTGGAGATCTGATGTCTAGTTGAGATATGTCTTTCACTAAATGATTAGAAATATTTGTAATAGGTAGGAGACCGTCATAAGGCAATAGGCCGAAAAAGTGCAACCCATCTTCGGTCAGTGTACCAGTCTAAAATATGATATAGATGCTTTCAAAATACTACATTGATAAAATATATTTTATCGGGTAAAATTTAACGCGGATTAAATTTTGTTTCCTAAAATTTATTTCCTCGCTTAATATTCATATATACTTATTAGTATGTCATAAAAATAAAAAAATAAAATTGTTTTTGTAGAAACAATTATGATACGGCTATTTGAGTATATAAATATCAAAATCAATGCGCTGTTCATTCTATTAGTAATACTCGTAATTTAAATAAACCTACCTTATCAAAACAAACGAGTTTTATTTTACCAGCGACATTAATGCGTGACTGGCACGTGCAATATATTTTAAGGCGTTTCAAACGTTTCATAGAATGTACAATACCAATTGTCATCGCAGCTGGCAAAGCGGGAGGTACTACCACGGTGTAAATATCCAAACTTCGTATTATAATGTACTCCACGGTAGCCTGTAATAGAAATGTCCAAAATGAAAAACATATAACGCATTTGTATAATAATTATTTCAGTTGGAATAAGTTATTCAAAATTACGAGAATCGGATATTAAAGTGCTTTTAAATTAGTGAAAAGTTATTTTGTATATTAAACATTATACTATACAAATGGGACGAAATTTAAAAAATGTTATAAACTACACTTACTTCTCGTATAACATATAAGTATACACAGTAAATCATTCCAATAGTAGCAACAATAAACATGATTATAACAAATTTTATCGAATCCAAGTAAAATTCGAAGTCCATATCCTTGGGGAACATTATTGATCGTATCAAATTCCCTTTTGCCGTGGAACTTCCAGTCCTAACCACAAGGGCCAATACCTATAAGTTATAAATATTTGAATAACTACTTTCATATTTTGTTTCGGCAGAAATAGAAAATTCTTCAAAAACAATAGTTTATCATTTCCATACTTGGGCACCGGCGTAAAACCTTGATTGCAAAATTCTGGTACCACAATACAGTGTGTGATGCTTATGCGAAGAGCTACTGTAAAAAAATTCTTCAATTGACGAAGGAGGACTTTTTGTAATCGGATCACTTTCTCCTAAACAAATATTTAATAAAGGAACGTTATTGTACAGCCCGTAGCAAATCTAAATTTATGATTACGAAAATCAAACATATCTCTTATTTATATTATTAACTAAAATATATGTTCCACTAAACGGTAATAATGTTGAATAGGTATTGTTTGTAAATTTAAAATTTTACTGTTATAGTTAGTTCCATAATATTGATTAGATTATATTTATACAACAATTATCCATTATATAGAAATACTCATTAAATTATTTTACAATTAATACAAACCTGTTAAAAGACTTTCGTCCACAATACAACTACCAGATAGCAACAAAGCATCACAGGCAATATTGCCACCTCCAGGTGGTATAACTATTACGTCGCCAGGTACTAAATATTGAGCTTTTACTTTTACATTTTCTATAGAAATAAAATAAAAAATGAATGCATTATTATAAGTGATCAATTATTTTATAGAATACATGTATTGATTATTATGTTATAATGCTTGTAAAAATAATTATTAATATTTATTAGGGAAATTGTAACAAAAAGTTTACAAATGCACAAATAATGTATATTTTTAAATATGAAAATTCTTATAAAATCTTTAATTAAACCATCAAATGCGACCAAAACACCATAGAAAATTGAATATATGCCATTGGATCAGGTGAATAGCCCTGGGGGAGGGGCTGTTACAGGTGTAATAACACTCCCCCCCCCCCTTTAACCGTGTTATACTGAAGTCTTATAAAGGTAAAAATTCATCATTAACTGTAATTAAAACATATTTATCATTATCACGAAAAATATACATAATAATAATGTACTTAAAGCAGGGATTCGGCTTCTCGTTACACTGTTTTGTCTAATAAACCTAAGTGGTGGTTTTGTGTCTTATCATGCATGATATAAAATAGGTACATATGACAAAAATGTTCATTTGAAATTTTAATAAAATATTTAAATACTTTCTTATACAATAGTATATTACACATGTAGTATATTACACTAGTACATTACACATGAATAGATATTCATGTGCAATGTATTAATGTGTTTTTATGCTTGTACAATAAAGTATTGGTAAAGTAATTATTTTGTTGTGTATAATTTTGAATAATACCCCTCCTAACACCCCCTCCCCCATCTGAAATACCTAGCCACGCGTCTGCATGGGATTTAAGTTGAAATAAATAAAATTGATACAAATACTGATTAAGAATAATAACATATATAAAATAAAACTAATTTCGAATATTATTTGAATAGATTATATTTATATTACATTATAAATCATCAGCATGATACTACAGAGCAAGTACATTTTAGTTGAATTTCTTAAAATATATATTCTGTACATCTATAGGTATAAAGTATATCAGAAAAATATAAAACAATACAAAATACAAAAAACATTCGTTATAACCTAATAAAAAATTTAGATTTGGTAAAATGATTATACAACTTACCACTGTTTCTTCTTAATACAGTGTAAATGTCATTATTATAAGTATCCACAGTATCTTTCAGTGATCGACTTTGCTGAAAAAATCCATTTAATAGACATTTAGTATTATTTTACGTTTATTAATCATGTTATTGTTACTATGAATAATGTACATCGTAGATGAACAACCCAAACTGCACAGACATTGAGTACATCCGTTTTCATTCACATTTTACTGTTTGGATAACTAATTGTGACTAGTATATGTAAATTGTTTACGGTAAGTGAGATAAATTAAAAAGTGGAAAACAAATTTCTAAATCAACCATCTGTACAAATATAAGAATACTCGTTGTAATTGAATATAAATGCAATTAAGAAGCTATGTATATAAAAAAAATCTAAGTTAAAATATGACCAGACACATTCGGTACACTTTGAAGCATAAGATTATTTACTTTTGAAAACATTACCCATGTACCCTGTGAAACTTTTGTTTACAGAAATCTTAGCGGTTTATTTAGCGGCTTATCACAGTATTAAGAACCAATGGTTTTTTTTATCCATCCTGATTATTGTTCTAGAGAAAGACGACAGCATGTAACTTGCGTCCTATACGTGGTAGACGCCACCAAGGATTTCGTCAGGGGGTTGCATCATACACAGTATATACGCTAATTTCTAAATAATTAATAATTAATGCTTAAATTATTTAAGTTAAATACTTTTTCAAAAGTATGATAGTACAAAATTATTTTCGGTTTTATTAACGGTTACAAATTAGTGCAGGTTATTAGAAAATCCGATAATGATAATAATAGAGACTATTCTACATTTTTAAATTTTATTCTTTTTTTTTTTTTTTAATCATGAAGGTGCAAATGCACTCACTTGTACTCTTTTGCAGCGCCTATGTATACAACTTATGTATATGTATCACAATTTGGGTAGCTCAAATCGACAAAATAAATAAATTTACGATTCAAACCTGTTTCAATTGATACAATGAAGTTCCAATAGAAAATGCCGAACTGATTAATACACATAATCCATAGTACTCATAATCATCAAAACACCACAGGCATATGCTAAATATTTGGAACACATAAAAAGGATTCAACACTTCAGCAAAAAATAACTTCCAATAAGAATGTACTTCCACTATTATTTCATTCTTGCCGAATAATTCTAATCTAAGAAATAAAAAAAAAAGTATCAATAATTAAACAATTTGTTATAATGGACCTCATTGGATTTACAAGTTTAGTGGATTTTTTGATCCAAAAAAACATATTAAAAATAATCTAACTGTAACCCTACTGCAGGTTAATAATTAAAAACAATTAATTAAACATATAGATTTTGTATAATGTACATTTATATATTTATCATCTAACGAAAATGTTCATTCGACATAATTTATAAGTGGCTTTGTAAAATGGTTTAAACGATTTTCGGTTTGTACGTAAGTGATTTTAAACTATTCCCCTTACTCAATACAAATATATATGTCATATATATATGTCAGGGTCTCACGGATAAAGTAAATTTATTTCAGTTGTAGTCGACGTTATCCAATTGTGAACATTACCCTTAATACACATAACGTCATACATACGTTATACATATATAAAGTATATAAACACATAACACGTTTACCTGTGAATATTACTTATGCAAATCGTTATAAGGTTATCTGGTTATGTAAGCATTCGTTTGGCCTCCATTCAAGTTTAATACTTATGATATCCTGGTATTGTTATGGGCTAACAAATGTATTCAAATCGCATATTGTTAAGGTAATTTATTAATATTTTAATTGCTCCGAAAATTGTTCCAAACACATCAATATTTTACGTTAAAATTAATTTAATTATTTGGTTAAAAACTTTACTAGTTTTTCTTTTAAATGAATCCGAATAGAAATGCAGGTCAATGAATGTTCGGTTTGACCGTTTAATATTTAACGGTTAATGGCTGTAAACGGTATTGCTTATTTCAATAATACAATATATATATATATTATCTATATAATTTTTTTCATGATGAAAAAATTAGTAATTATATTTAAGACACTATTGTATATTTTAATACACAAAATATGATCGTCGAATAGTCAGAAGATCGTTAACTATTATTTAAAAAAAAATAACGATTAATCTATCTTATATGTACATACTGGTTTTCGTATTCTTCAGTCGTTAAACCATGACACTTTTCCAACAATTTTGAAAGCGTAGTCGTCCCATTATCTAAACCTTGTAGAAATTTGAATGCATTTTCTTTTTCATCCCATATATATTTCAGTAATTGATGTTTAAAATATCGTATAGTTTTTTTTTTCTCCATTACAGTCTTTAATTATTGATGTCTTTACGTCGTACATAATATCGTTATTATTGGCATCCTACAAAAAAATTAAAAATTAACAAATAAAAGTCGTCGATAGAAAAATATTGAAACAAAATTGAAGTGATATCATCACAGTTTTTAAAACATTATGACTCTTAATAGTTATTAATATAAAATTCACGGTTTGTTGTTTAAAATACAGTAGGTAGAAATAAAATTATTAAATAAATCAGGTAATACATTCTATTGTTTTAGAGAAAAATTAAAACATTTTGAAGGGCTATAATTTGCACACTTAGACCAAATCTATAACAACTCAAAAAGTAGATATTTTTAGTTAATTATATAATTTGTGACTACAAACGAAGTTGTATGAACCAACTAAACAGTTTTAAATCTATCTTGAGTATCCTCAAAAATATAGCATAAAATATTTTTTGTTAAATAACTGATTCGTGATCACTACAAAAAAAAAAAACGTTGCAATTTCAGTTGCAAACAAAATTGTTTTTTGAGTTATTACAGTTTTTATTTAAGTGTGCGAAATTTAATGCAATTATGTAAATAATATAAATAATAATTGTTATTAATTTTGAAACTCATATAGAAAAACGTGTTTTTTTCGTTTTTAAATTAGATAATATATTTTTTAAATATGCATTTTTATAGTTAATAGAATTAAACCCACTTTATCCAGGACGAATACTCAGATTAAGTATTTTTTTAAAAAATTGTTTAGATAGTTTTTATTATTTATACTGCAATTATACAAAAAAAAAAAAAAATCAGAGAATAAAATAAAATGTTATCATTATGAATGAAACTATACTTGAACATTTAAGAATTATATAATAACTTTAGTTTTAAAGCTCGTTAACTATATTTAAGATAAAAGTATTATTTTACTTCAGTTTGACCCTTCTTCGACTTACATTTCAGCGTGCAATGGACAGCCTCAACTTTATTGTGATGATTTCATTTCAAAATAAATTGATTTTTCACTCAAATTTATATTGACAAGTTATATTTAATAAGCCACAAAAAATCATAACCATCATTCAAATTAAAAAAAGCAACTTAAAAAGTTAATATATTTGAATATAAATGAATTTAGTCAGTTTTATTTTACGTTAATTTAAAAATAACATTACGTACATAAATTATATCCAAAGGGTACATTAAAATAATTAATCGGTGATTTCTTAACTTTCTTGTTAATTTAGTAACTATGGTATAACTGTGGACTGTTATATAACTTGAAAATCACAACTCAACATTTTTATTAATATTATTTTAGTATCATGTATCTTATATCTAATATTTATTATATTTTTCTTTTTTTACTGCAATATTCTAATATTCAATAATTTATTATGAGGTAAAACACAGGTGAAAGTTGCAGTATAAAGTATGAGTTTTTTATATTTTAGGTATATATCAAATCAGACAAATCATACAAATACAGGAACAAATTGTATCTCGTATATTGAAATCGGAATGAATTCCTTCCAAGGAAATAATGAACTAAGTTCGTCTGTACATATCACCTAAATATGATTGGCGATATTGTGTTATGTATATAATACATATATAACGGCAAGTAATTATTAAATGAATAATATGTTGAAATACGTTGAATAATATAATGTATGGTTATTCGTGTTGTTATAGGTACACTCACCATCTTTTTTTTTTTTTTTTTTTCGTGAAGAACACGTCTCTTTTATGCCGTCCATTAAACTCTCAGTGAGTAGACTCAAGTAGCTCATTTAGACATTCCACGAGTGTCTTTAAAGAAACCCCGACGAGTGGTGGGTAAAAAGAACGAAAAAGGGTGGCGGCGACGGCGGCGAAGGAAAACCGGATATTATACTAACCGACTAACCGACCGGTTATTCATTGAAGAATATACATAGTAATCATTATAATAATATGTAAACAAAAGATTTGAACACAGTGTAATATTTCCTCGGCAGAGCTGTTCGGATTTCTCATAACTTTATGAATAACAAATGCATACACGTGTATGGTGTACATAATATTATGAATTATTCCCGTGTCGTCTGCCGCAGATGTCAATCGACCACATACATACAAATGGACAAGCATAATAAACGAAAAACTCCATAGGTACCTATATACTTACACGATAATAACAACACCAGTTTAACATAAACCGAACGATTAAATATTCCTTCGATGCGTGTTCGTGCAAGGAGTATTATTGTAATTCGGTGAACAATTTCGAAATTGATAAGTTTTAAAAATTGTATCGATCCGGACTTTCAAATCGTTGTCAATAAGTTATTCATAAGAATGAATTCGATGAAGAACATATTATAAATTAAATGCGTACATTAAATATTAATTAAAACATCAATCGTTGCAATGTGTTCCTATACGTAAACACGTTTTGATTGCTATATCCATTTGTGGTTGACTATTAAATTCTATAGAATTGATAATTGTAATAGTGATGTTAATAAAATAAATTACTATTTATAATACTAAATTCTTCTGTAAGTGAAATGAGTCGAAGCAAACAATATTATTAATTTCACTATAATTTAGAGTTAAACGATTACTAGAAGCTATAAAAAAAAATATTATTGTACTTATTAAGGACCGTATTCTTCACGATAATGACAATGTTAATAATGTACGATGTTAAATTATAATTATTTTAATATAAGCTTTTGTGAGATTGAAATTAAAAAATAAGTGCTCACCGTTCATTAAAATATTTTTCTCAAACATGCTTAAAGCATATTCTGTCATATTACGTTATACATAAAGTATAAAATATTTCATAAAGACATACAACTCAATTTTCGATAACTATTTTCCCCCGTATTCCTTATCGTCCGAGTGAATTTTATCGTGTACGATGAGAATTATTGCAATAAATAGTTAGTAGTTAGAGTTCAAATAAACAAGTAAAATTGTACTTGAAGTATTATACTTACAGTAACGAGAATATCGTCTGCCGTCGATAGTGGACTAGGAGTCATGAGTAGACGTAATTTTAGTTTTACTGACCAATGAATGGCCAAGTATGGTACACCGAGCAAGCATACCGCAATTATATGAAATATTATTTTTTTCGTACGACTATAACTATAGCCGCTCTTGATGTCAATGTAATCTACATCTGAAATGGTAATTGGTTGAGATGTTGGACTGTCGTCTATTGATGTATAATTTCTACGGGAACAAAAACCTATGTATAAACATAAAACAAAATGTTAAAACATTATTAATGGGAAAAATTGAAAATTGTACTCGACAAAGATAAATATTTGCTATCAGATTGTTTTTATTTTTTGTATTAGTTATTTCTTTGATCGAAATAGAAAAATATTTCAACGTTGAACTGGACAGGAAACGAAAAAAATAATTTAGCAATTAATGACTCGATTATTTTTTCGCTCCCCTTGAGATTCGCTGTAATGAGAATTTACCCGACACAAAGCGTAAGAAACCCCAGTCTGTACGCAATGATATATTCTTGTTGTTTTCATTTGCCCATACCAAGATTTAATACATTTTTAATTTTTACATAAGTTCCGCGTAATATCGAATAATTATTGCGTTTGTATGCATGAATCGCATTAGATATTTCTCGATTAAATAAATATACCTCCAATATGAAAAATAATACCAATAGTAAAAGTAACAAGCGAGAAAAAATATTGCACTACCGTATTGTTCTAATTGTATATCATTCTGATGGATACTATCCATTGTACAACATTAATATGTTCAACTCATAATAAAATAATAAAACTCACCAGGGATTTGATCAGTTTCAGTCAATCTTTTCATTCCATTTAATCTAGATATACTCCGATAAGTTATTAATGGATTACAAATAGTATATTTATGAATATATTATAATTGGTTTTTTTTCATTTTGAACTCGAGAATTTATACGAACATATTTGATATATATATTGGGTATACTCGGGACAGAATTGCTCTAAAAGTTATGCATATTTTATGTAGCCTCGAAATCAGTTGAAAGCAAACATAGCCATACAGTCGTACAAGCAAAACCATGTATATGTATAGTATATATAAGGTATATGCGCAGTGTCCCACGAGGATTTACTAATTATTTGAATATCGTCTATGTTAGTAGAAATACTCGTAATCGATTTCGTGTTTTTATTTACTAAGAAAAAAAAAGATCAAAATCATAATTTTCAGATCGCAGTAAAACACATCATCAGATATAACTTGTATATATTTATCATCTCATGAGCGATTGGTAAATCTTCATGGGACATTGTGTACAAAATACATAACTGTTAAGAACTATAATCAACTATATGCTAACGATGACATTTTAAATAACTATTTTCGAAAAATGGTTAAATGACACAGGATTTGTCAAATTATTCGTGAATTTCTCAGATGTACACGAATTCTCAAACTGTACGTAAAAAATATTAAAAACACCGTTTCGTGTGACGCAATTTTATGCGTGTATGTCTATACACGTATCACTTATTATATGGTCGTAGTCTGACTGCAATAGTAGGGTAGACAAGTAAACAATAATACATGGTCGAGGGAAAATTTAAATAATTTATTTACAGATGTAGACAGATAACTGTATATGCGCATTTAAAATATATAAAGTCATTCGTTACACATGATTTAAATAATATTTATAATAATATTGTAATATTATGTTTGCAATCATAACAAAATAATGTCAATTTCGTTTAGTTTTATGTTTACAAAATGTATTTCAGTGTCTCACGTTACAACTGAGTATAAATACAAATAAACAGAAAAATAGATACTAAAAAACATAATTTTATATTTATATACGAGTATACTCAGTTCTGCATAATATCGTCGTTGACGACGTATTATAGTTGGATTTTTTTCTTTTTAACGTTTTGTTTACGAAAAATGATATTTTTATATTGATCGATCAAGACCAACACAGAGGCTTTTTGTTATTCACCGAATGACCACATTTCAAAAATTGAATTAAATCACGCGTGGACGATTATTTTTTTCTTCACATAATACATCGATTATCTGATTACGCAATGTATATACACGTGTACCGTGTATATTGTATACTAAACATATAATAGATTATACGTGTGTGTATGTGCGTGAACAGTTAATACTAACTATAGTTATATTGGGTACATTATTATTTAAATATTACATATTGACACGGCAATAATATATTATTTGTTTGTTACACTTATGCAATGAATGGTTATATCGGAATTACCGAGTTGTTATGAAATAATTCTAAGTTGTAACACTTGAAAATATCGAAGATTTTTATGAATATAATCCAACGAATTTTTTCAAAGAATGGAAAACCAAGAATTATTATCTAGTAGTTATTAATTATTAATACATGTTATAGTTACTAATCGCAGTAAACACGCTTACTCGTATGATTTATTTATTGTATTTCATTATAGACATAAATAGAAAACATAAGATTAAATAAACTAAAACGGTATTGGTATTTAAAATTAAAAAAATGAACAGGACATCTTATTTGTAATATGATTGATTTAGTTGTTTTTTCGTACAAAAACAATTAATTTTGTATTTTTAATAGGTAAGTCTTAAACGAAATGTAAAATGGACTACCATAGTCCGCCCACAATTAAGTGCACCCCAGCAGTAAAGTAATGTTTTGTCTTGTCTCGTTCGAATTACCATTAGTCCGTATATATTGAACCGTTTTCGTAGTGTTCGGAGCGGTGAAACAATGAATATTGTCAATTAAAAATACTATGTTTATAAGGCTCACAAAATTACATTTAATCAAATAATAAACGAGTAATAAACATTTACTCACACATTGGCTTGGAACTATAAATAAGTAAACGATGCAAGAAATGTTTTGATAGGATATACAAACACGACATTTTTCAAATCCATAAGTATATTTAGACACCGAGACTTCCGCAATTATCGAATATCAACTTGGCAGTTTCATTATTTTTAAATTTGAAATACAGCGTACAAAATATGTCAAAGATTGATAATAGAGCAAATCCTAAATCAAAATTATTTGGCTTCTATAGTTACTAAATATTTACATGGTACCAATATAATATTAGTATTATTTAATCAACAAATCATCTTATTTACTTGAACACTTTTTACCATTAACGTCTTGAATACTATATAGTATCCGTTAAAGCTTACATATAATGTAAACGCTAGTATGCATTTTATATACATCGATATTATTAAGAATATTCATTATGAAAAAAGCAAATAGGATGAAGAAGATAAGATCCTAAGAAGTCATTTTTCTCGTTTTTCATTCTCACCCGTCACATTTGCTGTGCAGAATTAACGATTATCGTTACAGGACTTCATAATATAGACCCTCGCATCCGTAATTTACATTTTTCAAAAGTTACACACCATCACCCACAACTATTTAAAAATATTCACGAGCTTATCATTTTAATAATTCGCCTTATATCACAATGATATAAATACCCGGAAATCAACTTTTAGACGAAACGAGACTATTATGATAACGAAACTTACTATTGTACAACTTTAACATCGTACATTTATTCATAAATTTATTTAATACCTAACACAAATATGAATAATGAAGAATCAAGTTGGTAAAATTTAAAAAATATTTGTTTTTTGTTTTTTAGTTTTATCCTTCAAAAATGTTAGGATACAGTGAGTTTAGGTTGGCTTACAAATACGCATCTGACTATTCATGTTGATTTTTCAAAATTTTCTGAAAAAAAAACTTTAAAATCGGTAGATAATCATAAACGACTTATTTGTTTTTATTTTCAACAATAAAAACAGATGAATTTTCAGCCTTACGATTTTTATTCATTCAACACGTTAATAGATTTTGACATTTTCTTTTGCGAAAAGGCTGAAAAAAATTTCACAGAGGATGGGCATTGCTATGAATTCGTGGCGAAATTCATTTATATCGACTCAATTATTTGCCCCAGACTACTTTATTTACCTCGATCCCACTACACAATAACGTACAAACCGATCGAAGTACAACCAATAAAATGCTACTTGTTAGTATACCGCCAATGTTCATACACATACGCACTCATATACGCTAACCGATATAATTATATATATATATAATAATATTTGAATGTTAAAAGTAGTTCTCCTCCAAAACACGTTTTTTCATACAAGCTCGCAAATTCACATTGTGTTACAGTCGTGCTGGTTCGAGGTGAAATAAAATGTTTTGTGCAAATAACGATGGAATTTATATTAACCAAACGAAGCATATTCGCGAAGCTCTTTGTTTATCATCTGACGATCAATATCAGTGAATAAAATGTACAGTAAACGAGTCAAAATAACGAGTCAAAATTTTCAGTTTTTAGAAAATTATTTAATACGAATTTTATATATTTTAATCGTTTTATACGGATTATAATTATTAATTTTCTCGTGTAAAATAAATTACTAGTATAATAAATTTCTCAATTATTTTAAAATTTGTAAGCTATTTCGGTATATATTTTGTAAACAGATTAACATTAAATGTGTATACTTATAATTGTTAGCGCAATCAAAAAAGAAATAAAAGCAAAATCGAATATTTTTTTATATTTCAAGGGCCATTCTCAAGTTTTATAACGGAATCATCTAGTATTCCGCGACGTAATAATGTATTGCAGATAGAAAATTTACAATTATTGTTGGTATAAATCCAAATGTTAAATCCTCTAATTTTTAATTCTTATGTATGTAATATTTTATCAAGCTAGTTCAATGAAAACGATAAACTTTTTTTTACTTAGAGTAGACACGCAATTACTGAATAAACATAGTGGTACGAAAATATAATTATAAATTTGACATGAGTTACAGTTTATAAGACACATCATAAATAATTTATTACAATTATTGTGTTCATCGAAATAAACTATTTATATTAATCACTAACGTTTGATGATTTATAACCCAAATTGTCAGTGTTCATACTTTGTTCGACCGAAGTCATATCGCGTATGGCTACATCATATTCTGACGACATATAATCTACAACATTATGAGTAATATTATAAAATCACAACACCATTTGACAAATAAAAGAATTGAGATTAAAAAAAAATATATATTAAATTAGCACATTTTTTTAGGCCACTAATGCAAACAAGTTGCAATAAATGAGTGGACTTTGATTTATTCAGTACACATTTTAAGACCAAACGTCCGTGAACAATTATGTGTAAAGAGAGTAATATTAAAATAATTAATTGTTCGATTATTAATTAGTAAAAAAAAAAAACACTAATTCAATTAGTTTTATCTACTTCACATTCTAATAATTGTATAATATTGGTATCATTTAATTTTAATATAATCTACTTCACATTTTTATGGAATTTGATTCTGATGATATTTATTGAAAGATTGCCATGCAGTATTTAGTCATAATATTTCGATAGTTTAAATTTTACAATGTCAGTGGTCAAGGTTTGATATAACCAATAGATGATTCGTGTTAAATATTTAACGGCGACATTATATTAATACAATTTATTTATTTTATTATAAAGTAATGATCACTTTATCGATTTTTTTTTAGTTCCTATGAAATATTGCTTTTATATTTATAATTTACCAATAAGAGTCGACTCGGTCGAAGTTTGAGCTTAAGGAAGTAATGTTGAGAAAAATATTTTCTCAAAGAAAAACAATTTTAATGGAAATATCCAGAGATATTTAAACTAAATTATTCCTGTGATATAAATGCAAAAAGGTAAGTTTTAAAATTTAATTCTGAAAATAATTACATGTAATTAAAATTTTACAACAATAAATAATGTACAATTAGTGTACATGAAAAATGTACAAATTAATTTATAATATGTTATAGCTGAAAATAAATAACGTTAACATTAAATAAAGATTAATAAATAGTTAAATTGCTAATATGGTAGTTAATTGATTAAGTTATTTATTAAATGATTTACTGTATTGCTGCAACACACTTATCCGAACTAACGTAAGTTGTTTACTGTTTATTGATTTATAATATTTCTTGCACTTACAATTAATAATTATAATAATACCTGTACAAAGTATTTTTATTTTCATCTTAAGCTTTATAAGACTTATTTTTACAACACAAGCTCAAGTGGTTAATTATAATAATTGCTGTCCTTAAAAATTATCGTGAAAACACATGAATGGTATATCGTGTAATCCCACATCGCTCATTTAATTTAAGCCACATCACATATGTTAACCACTTGAAGATATTAGCAGCAGCCAACGTCAAGTTTCTCACTATGATTAGTAGTCATGTACACATCGCAGTGTATTGAACTAATTAAATAACCTAGTACATAACATTAACAGTTGTATATTATTCACCGATATGACAGTTCGAACGATAAAAAAAATGATCAAATAATATAAGTGTAAACAATTAAGTCTTAAAATTGTACCATCTGCGTTTTTTCTCTCGCAGAGTATTTTTTCTATTACAGGAATTGTCTTTAAATTTATTAACTTGTAATCAATAATCGAATAATATATATTTAAAAAATGTAAGTAAATATATTAAAGCATAAGAAAATACATGTAGTAAAAAAATCTTACCGACTATTCGCAACTTTTAACCGTATCGTTTCGAGAATCTTCAAAATAGTTTTTTAAATCCTGCCCGTATGCAAGTTTTTTTGCGCAGAAATATAATATATAAATTGTTTGGAACACGACATCAACAACGAAATCGCGTAAAACGATATATCGGTGTCATATTTTAAAAACTACAGGTGTATAATATATACATGTACATAACTCCGAGCCTACAACAGTATGCAGAACATTTATATTTATATATGGTCTAACAAAATTTTAAAAATATAATTTTTATTTTAAATTTTATTTGATGGAAATGTTCTGCTATACGGACATATATCTACTGTATTTTTAACATCTGAAACATTCTAGCAAATAAATGTCGTCTTCAATAACTCCGTTTCGAACGAAAACCGACGAATAACCTACGTTTGAATAGGTGAAATTTGGAGCGCTTGAAATGCATTCAAAGTAACAATCTAACCGCCAGACGACGACGACTAATGAACGTAATTACATTTATGAACTACAGTTATTGGTACGTAGACAGACTGTGCACGGTCGAATTGACGATTTCAATAAGCGAATTAAACGATCTTCATTCGTAAACACTTATACACTGTGTATTAAATAAATATACAATACACCCTCCAGTGCAATCAAACATTTTACATTGAACGTTTCCATGGTGAACTCGTGTAGTGTAATAAGTGACCTACAGAACGGGAATAATCAAGTGAAAAATCTTCGGTTAACGAATTCATTGATAAAATATTATAACAACTGAACAAAACCGTACGATTAAATTGCTATTTCAATGGTACACGTTATATGGCACTTTACGATTTTATATGATGACCTGTACGATTACGTGTTTTTTCGGGAAAATTTCAAAAACTATAATTATGTAGGTGCTACGGTGTGTGCATAAATTATTTCTTACAAAATAATTAATCGCTTTAATCTATCTCCGATACGAGACTAATTAACGCGGTTGAAACCGCGACCATTACGGTAGAATGAAAAAAAAAAACCGTCCGGAGTGGTACATGTTCCTGATAATAGTGTTTTTTTTTTTTTTGTTTTAATATATATTTTTTAAACTAGAAATCTACATGATGAACCAATGCATTTGATAAACGATTCTGAGAAATGTTCGATGTAATGTACGTATAAGTATTAAATATATTTAATCTAATATAATATGTAATATTGTAACTCGAACTACCGATGTTGTAAATCATGTACAAATATGCATAATAAATTTCTAAAAGTCAACTGAAATCCCATGTTTTGCAAACCAAAACACTATACTTATTTTATTTGGTAACATCTGGAGAAAAATCACGAAATGTGTCGTCGCAATCTCAGTGAAAGTTATCTGTTTTCTCATGCCTAGAACTTTAATAATAATATCCGACGAGAACAGATCTACAGTTGATTTTTGAACACTAGTTATGGAAAACGGCTTAATATTTTATAGAAATACGTTCAAGCCGTGAAATAGAAATGTACGCAGTTTAAAAACCAAACGAATGCGGTCGAACGATTTTTTTTTAATATTATCATTCCTCTTAGTGTTTTTTTTTTCTTTTTTTTATCTCGGCGTTTTCTTATGAAAAGTTACATGGCCGTCGTTTTAGTTTTTCTTTCGGGTGTGCGAGATTTTAGGCAGGTCAATTTAACATTTGACCAGGACGTTAAAAAGAATTTTTTTTTTTTGTTACATAAATGTCTGTAAATATTAACTCCTTCTCTATTATAATAATCCTAATTGAATCGCACTTTTCAAACACCAGTTCAACGTATTAAAAGCTTATAACCAATTATATTTATATATCTATAGCAACCGACTGAAGCCATTTCGCTACTATTTGGAGAAAAAAATTCAAACGTGGTGCAAAAGGGATTTACTTTAATTCCAAAACTGAACACTACTATTCGTATAAAACATCGCATTATTATTTTAACGTTTTAACTATAGGATATCCACGGGTGCTAATGTATGCGAATGCGTTTACAATAACGGCGCATAGGAACATTGGAGGACCAATTATTAACACTGTTAAGTTAGCAGCCCTGTCTGTCCCTCCCCCCCCAAATTAAAACCGTGGAGTGTTATTAAAACGAAAAACGACTTTTGAAAAAACCGTTTGACGACCCTGCCGTCTCGTCGCCGTATTAAAATGTTGGCGTGGACCTAAAAAGGCCGACTGCTGCAGACGGACGGTTTGATGGTAGTAAATGCATACGATTTCGACGGACGCGATACGCTTACTTTTCGGAAACTAAAAAGCTATGAACCGTTCCCGAGATGATCACCAGTCATTCGATATTAAACGTAAACACATACGCCGTTGCACATCCCGTCGTAACGTTCAACGAAATATTTATACACTTGATTAATAATGCCGTTTCGATGTCTGTCGCTCATGAAAACATGATATTAAGAATATTCGAACGGCATTCGCGGAGCAGCCATCAAATCGACCGTTTAACATATCCTCCGAGGTATGATAACAATATTAATAATAATTATCATCATCATTATTATTATTATTCTTATTATGTATGTGATAATATTAATTAATTCATCGGTCCGAATCATTATGTTCCTCGGTTCCGCGGGATAACTGATAAACCAACAGATAATGAAGTCTACAGAGGTCCGGACGATAACGTTTGAATTTCGGAACGTTATTGCGTTTATTACCAATATATCGAATACGATTAATATAATAACGCAACCAAGGCTCACGAATCTTGCGCGATACGAAAATAAAAGCGTGAAATATTAATAAAATATTATCTCATCCGTTGGAGTCTCTTATATCCTATGACGCATTTTAAGAACGGGTTCGCAAAACGTGATGGTACGTGACATAATATTTTCCATATAGCAGTGGCGTAGCCGGTAACATATTTTAGGGGGGGGAGAGGTTTAAATTATCAATTTGTTCCCACACAAGTACCGAATTTTTTTATTTTAATAAGTCGATTGTGCATAACGTGTATTGTTGTTGAAACTGTGATAATTGTTTAACGTCGACATGATACTTAATGTCTTAAAAAAAAGTGTTAATGCACGTTTCACAAAATAAAAAGAGACGTTTCGGGAGGATCGCAACCCATCATCCCCTCCCCCCGGTTACGTCGCTGCAGGTTGGTATCAAGGGCGTATTTGAGAGGGTGGCGAAAGGGCATCGCCCCCCCCCCCCATGGCTCGTATTTTTGTTGAATATAATATATTGATTAACTTCAAAAATGTAATGTATAAATAATTAAGAACATAAATGTACTAGTCCATCATTATTATAATACGTTATCATTACAACAGAAACACCGAGCGGTAGGTGATTTTTAAGTTTGTATTGAAGAAAAATTAGTTTCGCCCCCACCCACCACCACCATATGGCCTCAACCCAAATACGCCCTTGGTTGGTATAACACAGTATTGTAGTGCGCGCGCGCGCGTTCGACGCGAACCCTGCTCACCGAAACACAAGACCATGGTTGACGTCCGACGTTGGTGGCGAAGAACGGGCGGGCTCTGCTCGCGGGTTAACCGGTTCGGGGCGTCAGACTGGGCTGTTCGCGGACTCGGCGGCGCGCTTCCGGTGCTTATCAGCACGGTTGTCCGACGGTACTGGCAAACGGCGTTCGAGCAGGTCGTCGTGGTCGTCGTCATCCGACGTACGGCCGGCTGACCTCGTGCGCGGCGGCGGCGGCGCGGCGGCAGCAACGCGTCGTCATCGTCGTCGCGAACGGTCG